AACGTGTCCTTCTTACTGAGATTTTTCAACTGTACTTTACCCTTTTGCTTGGAAGTCAGACAGCCCCAGGAATGTAAATTCATGCTGTTTTGAGTGTGGGGGAAGGTGAGGGAACGAAGCCTGCCTGCTGCTATTCTGATTACAGCATTTGTAGCTGGGAGAGACAGCTCTGGGATGGATGCTATTCTTCCCCCTTTTAGGAAAATGGCTTGTATCAGGGAAGGGCAAAGGGCACACACAAGTGACAATTTCTGCTTAATCCCCAGCAGGTGTGCAAGCCTGTAGTCCTTAAGAGATGGCACTGGATTTGACTCCTTAATGCCTCATTTTCCCCCTTTCCCCACCTCCTGCATGGAAACAGGGTAATGCAATTATGTTGCCTATTTTCTTTTCCCTTTTAATCTGCTGAAATTATCGCTAGGCAGAATGGGGAGGGTAGAAACCAGATGGCTTTAGCTGGAGTAGAAAGGCACTACTGGGGAGCTTTAAGTACTCCAAGCTGGTGGAAGCCACTATTTTCTTGTAAAGAATGGTGGTGAAATTCGAGAAGAGTGGCAAATGATTACCAGCACACTGAGTGCCAGTGCCTGCTCTCTGTCCTCTCTCCATGTGCCAGAAGAGGCCATCCCTATTCCTTTGGCTCTCCTGAATCCTATCTACTATGGGCTACAGCAGGGTCTCTTCGGTGTGTGGAGGGATTGTATGATGGTGTTGATGGTAACGAGTGTGGTTTACTTATAAATGGGCATTGCCCAAGACCTTTTAGAAATCCTTCGCCCCTCTGTTGCCTTGCCACCTACAGCCTCACCACCCACCAAAGCCCAATTATGTGATTTATCAATTCTTCAGTCCTTCCTCCTCACACACATGAAGCAGAAAGCAAGCTGAAACTTCAGATGGAGAGAAAGTCCAGAGGGTAGCTGGAGGTTAACCTTGTATCTTCTTGTATCAGGTGCGATACAAGGGAGCCCTTTCAGTGCCTGGAGGGAGCTGTACACAGGGAAGGGGAAGAAGCAGTGAAACCTCCTCTCTCTAGTGTCTCATTGTCTTCTTCAGAATAATATGAAAATGAACCTTGATATTCGTTCCGATATCCAAATAAGTAATGTCTTTTCCAATACCATTCTGCCTCACTGAAAACAATGAGGCCCTCTACCATTCAAATCATGATGACACCGAATACCTACAGCTGACCCTAGAGCCAACAGGTGTGAGGGCTTCACCCCTCAGGACTGCCCTCCCACTATCAGTAGAGCGTGTTGGGTCTGTAGGTTACCCATTCTTCTGTCCGAGTGGGTTACAAATAGAAATCCTCCATCTCAGGTTTGAAATTTTATGGCAAGAATTCAGAAATATGTCTCAGTTATTACCAGTTTATTAAAGCAGATGCCATCCTGGAACACCAAAGAGAAGAGGGACACATCTGGATTCAGGGAGATGGAACACCAAAGAGAAGAGGGACACATCTGGATTCAGGGAGACGGCTCAGCAAGATTAGTATAGCAACCTGTCACCATGCCTGCGATGGTGACATCCCAAGGTCCATCCTTGGGACCCACATGGTAGGAGAAGAGAAGAAACTGTGACCTCCACATGCATCATGCACCTCATTCCCCTCATAAACAAATAAAATAAATTTTAAAATTTCAACAATCTTTACTAGTATTCAAGATAACTTTAAACATTACTTAGAAAGCTCCGTATGGAAACTTGCTGACATATACGTTTCTTAAAATAACGTTTTAAGAGTTTAAGTGGAGTTACCCTAACATGGGGGCATGTGACCCTCCTAGACAGCATAGACTATCAATTAAAATGCTTGGTGTCTGAAATGAGCTACTTCATTTACAGGTGTTAGTCAATGGGTTCCCATAGACTCACAAGCAATGCCGGCTATTGTCACTGGTTTTGGTTAGCCCCCAAAACTTGTTGAGAAGGGCCTATTGCAGACCGCACTTCTTCTTGAGCCATAAGACATGGTGAAATCAAACTGGTGCCCTACCTGCCCAGCTTAATACTACTGGAAGATTCTATCCAAAATACAAAGGGAGAAACACAATCATTATTCTTACCCATCTGTGAACCCTATGGGTTATAATAAAGACTAACCTGGTAGGATATGTAACAGTGGCATAAATGTAATGGGAATAATCAAGCATTTTTTGACTGACCTTAACAACAGCTTCTTAAGATGGAACTCTTGTCTGATAATAAAAAAGCCAAGTCCCATGGCTAAGTGGGTCATAGGCCGTAGGGAAGGACCTACTATAATTACTTTTACTAGATGGACATAGTATTAAACAAGCTCCTTATGACTTATCAGTATAGCCTTAGATAAGTGCATTTACAACCCTCATTAGAGAAACTTCTGTTGACCCCACAGATTTGAGGATAAAGACCACCAACCCACATTGCAGCCAAATTCATTAAAGCAGCAAATTAGTTAAAGCATGCTTTTTTTTTTTATTTTCTAGACAGGGTTTCTCCGTAGCTTTTGGTTCCTGTACTAGAACTAGCTCTTGTAGACCAGGCTGGCCTCGAACTCACAGAGATCCGCCTGCGTCTGCCTCCCGAGTGCTAGGATTAAAGGCGTGTGCCACCACCGCCCAGCTGCATGCTTTAAAAAAAAAATTCATGTATGTGGGCTGTCTCTTCCTAAAAGTGAGGCTCAATAGATCAGCATTAGACATGGGTAAGATAAAGGTTCTTACAGGACAGGAGGAGGGGGTTTCCAAATGGGGGATTTGGCAGGCAAATAGGTGGGGTTACAGAAGCAGAAAAAAAGCATAGCAAGTTGATCATAACACCCTCCTGAAACAAGCACATTGTTGCAAGGTGATCAAAACAGGATAGTCATAGCAAGGTGGTCATAACAACAGGTGGTCAAAATAACCGTCTGAAACCCAACCATGGCTGCCGTTTACAGGAACAGGCAGTATAGATCCATTTGTAGCGAAGGTTACAGGTGGGCATAGCCCGATCCAGGGGAAACAGATTCAATCATAAACAGGAATGAACCTAGGTTATCTTTACTATAACGTGACTTTCAAGCCTAAGATGAAGACAGGCTGCTTCATCACTCCTTTTACAGTAGAGATCAGTTAACTTGGAAACCTACCATTAGTCACTAAACAAAGAATAAGAGACTACAGAGTGTTTAATTCTAAATGGGACATTGTATCACATAACCTCCTCTCCAAGGCTAAGGGATCATCATGGAGAAGGAGATGGAAACACTGTAAGAACCAGAGGGGAGAGATGATTTCAGAGAAACAGTGTTCTCCAGAAACAACATGGCAATTCCACATATGAACTTACATCAGTTACAGTAGTGTGGACAAGACCTGAGCAAGGTCAACCTAGACAAAAAAAAATCTCTTTGTGAACAAGGAAGGGGGTCCTGAAGCCTACTCCAGCTCAAGAGATATTGACACTTGATGGCTTCTGGGAAAGGGAGAGTAAGTTTCTTCATGGATATAGTCCCCAGGAGGCTACCCATGATCAAGAAGATGGCCCTGTACCCTTATGTACATATGAAATTCTGTATGTATATATATATATTTATACATATACAAGTATATGTATATTTTTCTAAATATATAATAGAATATATATATTTAGAAGGACAGGCATTGGGTAGAGGATGCTGGTTTTATGTCTGTGACAGGCATTCCATCCTCCTAGCACCTAGATGATGTTCCCAACATGGAAGTTCCTGGCGCCATCTGGGTGAGGGTTTCCTCACAGGTTTCTTTACATGACTAGCTAAAGAAGTGGTCATTGATGGTGAACTCCCTTCACCCCTCTCCCTTGTCTGGAAGCGGGGCGTACGGTTGAAAGTCCTGAGCTACTTAAAAATTGGTCTTGCTTGCACTAAGGCATTCCCACCACCGCTTGCACTCAGGCAGTACAAATGTATTGGGAATGCTGTGTCAGGACTGAAGACAACAGCCAAACCTGCTTCTTTACATTATCCCGCACCACCCCAATGTGCTTATCTGACCATTGAAAAAAAATATACAGAGGCCATGAATTTAAGGGTGATGGGGGTGTGCGAGGGAAGAGTTGGAGAGAGTAAAGAAAAGATGGAAATGATGTTATTATATTTTAATTTCAAAAAATTGAAAAGGTCTAGAGGTACTTCAAAGACCCAATCCCGTTGCTGTCTCCCTGGCCATTTCCAGTTCCTCTTCCTGGGTACTCTCATTCACCTAAGATAGGCACCAGGAACCTCGGATTTGTTCTTCAGGGGTTGTTCAACACATAGCTACTTCCCCTGGGGACCAAGTTTACTTAGCCCTCCTCTACTGGGAGAAGAGTTCAGTACCACAGAATTGAAGGACCTGGCCACTCCCCCTTCCTTCCAGGAGGATTTTACAAAGTCAATAGTCAAGGGAAAACTGATTGGCTGAGAACCTAACCCCACCTCTTTCTGGAAATAATCTTTCCTTCCCATTGGTTTTGACGCTGACCTCCCATAAGGAGAAAGGGTCATTTTGTGCATTGGGGAGATTTTGGGGAGAGAGGGGTCTCTTACTTCTTCAAATCTCTACTGGCAAACTCTCGCAGGTTTGCTTTTGCAACACCACCACTTGAAGTGGGGTGAGGATGAGCACCAATTTGAGTGGATGCCGCTGTGCCTTCACCTCATTGCCCCTCCCGGGAACAAAGACCAAACAGAAGCAACCCAGGAACACAAGGCTGTCCTTGGACGCTAGCAAGAGAGCTTTCTTTCGAAACAAAATACCTCGCTCCCTCCTATGGCCCCTAAAAAGTCTCCTCTCAGATGACTACGGCCTTAAGCCCCAAACGGTTTATTTGAAATCCATGTTTAGATCCTAGCATGTGGCAATGTTCTCTACTCTGATGACACTTTTCTTTTCTAATAATAGAGCAGATGAAGTAATATTGCAATTGATGTTCCCGGGAATTTGATTGGATAAGTGCATAAACTGTGGAAGGGAAGGAGATTGTATGGACGGATCACATTAGTATTCCTGTCCTATCAATGTGCGGGGCCACGACCAACGTCAGCCGGACCGACTCGGTGCGTCTGCCAGTCCCGCCACGGATTCATCTGGGATCCTCACACAGACCAGCCAGCAGAGACGAGGGATCAAGGCGACCGATTAGCGCCAGTTGCCTGCTGCGGATCAGTTCGCCCCTTCCAGGCCTGGCGACTGTGGAGGGAGGGAACAGACGAGCGGCGCACCGCTGCGGGAAGACACCGAAGCAAGAGCGACACCCCCTCCCGCCCCCCACCTTGCAGCGCAGGCTTTTGAACGCCGCTTCCCCCATCTGAATGGAAACTCGGAACCGCCCGGCGGCGCGTTCCTCCTCGCTCAGTCTGTCAATCCATGCCGAGAGGAAGGCGGTGCAAGTCCGCGCCAGCAGCGTCCAGCTCCCGGGACAGGGCCGGCAACGCTGCTGAGCAGAACTTGATCGCGCCTCTTCGTCGCTGCTAGTGGAAGCGATGCTGCACCGCACAGGCAGCGCTTCCCCGGCTCTCCTTCAGGCTGAAGGTTACCCACCCGCGCAGCCAGCCGCAACCTTGTGAGCCGCGCGCGCCTCAGGTCCGGGCTCCGGCTGCTCCGCGGCGGCGTGCAGGGGGCAACCACCGGGCCGCCCGCGCCGGGGCGCACTGCACCAGCGGCTTCGGCTTAGTGGATGTGTATGCATGAGTTCTGCACCGAATGGGCGCAAAAAGCGCCCCAGTCGGTCCACCCGCTCCTCGATCTTCCAGATCAGCAAGCCTCCGCTGCAGAGCGGGGATTGGGAGCGCAGGGGCAGCGGCTCCGAAAGCGCCCAAAAAACCCAACGAGCCCTGGACGACTGCAAAATGGTGGGTGAAAACTGCGCCTTTTTCCTTTTTTCCTTTTATTTTTAAAGGGGGGTTGTGGGAGTCGTGTATCTTAATCCTTTGCTTGAGTGCCAGCCACTCCCCACCCTCAGCCTCTCCATGCCGATCACGTGCATGATGTACTATTTTTAAATCTGCACTCCCCCAGATGCGGGGTGACACCCAGGTCGAAATGGCCCTGCCAAGACAAGAGTCATGGGTCTGGATCCTGGGAGTCAGAGGCTAAAGGTGATACCTCTATCCTTGGAAGAAATGGTAGACGCGAAAGGGGCTGAACAGGCTGGCTCGCCAGAGAAAGAGGGTGGGGGTGCGGCTGTGTGCTGACACAGTAACAAACAAACCCAAACAGAGCGCAGGAGCGCTGCAGAGGTGGTGAAAGGTCCCAGCGCAGAGGACAGGACATGGCCAATGTTTCTGTCAGGGTCCAAGCCAGAAGCTTCAGTGGCCCCGCTGGAGGTGGAAGGTTTGCTTGTTGTGTCCTATTTTTTTTTCCTCCCGTGCCACTTCAAATCCATGTCCTGGCACTAGCGGAGAGAGTATCTATTTCAGAGCCCCCGGCATCATTCTCCAGCGGCCTGGGAGTGGCTTGATAGCTTTCCAAAGATGTTCTTGCTCTTCAGAAACCGAGTCTATAAGTGGGGGTATTTGGGACCGCAAATGGAGCTTCGATGGCTAGCTTGCTGAGGGAAAACAAACATTGGTTTCGGATAAAGAGACTTGCCACTCTTGTGCCTTAAGCTTTAAACGGGTTCCTTAGTTACAGACAGAGGTCAGTGAAATCTCCGTTTATGTACACGAAAATAGTTAAAGTCTGATGATAAGTGAATGTTTAGTGAAAGAGATTGGCTTGTTTTCCAGCTTGTCCAAGAGTTCAACACCCAAGTGGCCCTGTACCGAGAGTTGGTCATTTCCATCGGGGACGTCTCAGTCAGTTGCCCCTCACTACGGGCGGAAATGCACAAGACAAGAACCAAAGGCTGTGAAATGGCCCGTCAGGCACACCAAAAGCTGGCTGCCATCTCAGGGTAGGAGACTCTTGACTTTATCTGATAATTCGTGTACACGATGCATGGACACTGGCAGGATTCTGTGGTGACTGGAACTTCAGAATGATCTCGATAATGCAAATCAGATTTTAACCAAGCATCCCGGGATGAGTGAGTTCTTAATAAGAAAGCTGTGTTATTGGGATGATAGACAGAAAGACAGACAGACAAATACAAATGCATGCACATGTGAGATTTGGTCACGAACTGACTTTTAAAAAGTTAACTTTCAGTTAATTAACTGGAATTGGGAGCTTAGAGTTTTGGTGAGGGGAATGTGTGCCCCTTAAAGTTACATTATTCTGTTCGAAGATGAGTTTTTGCAGTCTTCTGCTAGACAAAAGGCCTACACTGGAGAGAAAAAAAAATCTTTGCTAAATCTTAGATTTAGTAAGCTATTTATGTCAGGTGATACATTCCTATGGTGCTGCTTGAAGTGGGTAAAATAAAATCTTGGGTAAAAATTACATTCTTTAACTAGATGTGAAAGGAAGTTTTGACCCAAGTGAAGGTTGTTTTGTTGTTGCTGCTGCTGTTTTTGCTTTGTATTGTTTCTGCACATTGGGGATATTGACAAATCTGAGCTAACATTAGCTAGATTTATCCCCGCCCCCACTTTTATTTGTTTTCTTATCGTATTTATGAATTCTCAAATCCATGGAAGATGCTAATAGAGTAAATAAAAACTCCTTTTCTGGGATCCCATCTACTCCATCTGGACCTCAGTTTCGGGAAAGAACCAATGATTTGCCAACCATTGTTGTCAAACTCGGTACACCCAGAGGCATTGTGGGAATTCTTGCAGAGACACTGTAATTGCTTGATTCTGTCCTAATCTAGCCTTCATGCAGGTTTTATTTTCTGAGCGTGGCTTTATCATAATACAAGTGTAGATGTGTCTGCTCACCTGATGATGCTGCAGACCGATCTCTTAGGCAACAGAATTAATATCCCTCTTTCCATCTTCAGTGCTGACAATATGCAATAACATTACAGGCATATCAAGTTGAGAAAATCACGTTACATTTGAAAACAACTCTTTTATGTTTGACAATAGGAATTTTATTTCATAGAAAAGATAAGTTTCCTCATGTACTTGAAGAGAGGGATACACAAAATACCATGCAAATTTATTTTATTTAGGAGTAATGTGGAGAAACTTTATCTTTTTCTATTGAACTGTATTTAATGGACAGTAAACCTGGGAAGTAATGGGGAAGTAGTTATTTCAGGATATCGCTTTAACGAACACCAAGAAACAGTGTGGGGAGAGTGAAGTAGAGCGATGATCATTTGAAAAGCAGAAAACACTGGCTGGGAAGGAGAGCAGGTTTGGACAGGAGCTTGATGCTCATCACTGAAAGTGAACATCTCCAGAAAATCAAGATAAGGTCATATCCAGAGCCCCTTCTAATCGGAACTCAGAATGAGAACACAGTCCAATCAGAGAGGGCAGCTGGGGGAATGGGCAGGAACTCGTCGGTTGAGTTTGCTGTACTTGTGAACTGAGTTTGCTCTCTGAATCACTTAGGTAAGAGTCTGAACACACTGGCTAAATGGTGAGAATTGAGGATATGACGTGTCTTGGATTTCCTCTGAGCCTGACAACCCTTCGCTGCTTGCTTATCTGTTAATCTGGAGATGGTGCTCCTGGAGGCGGGTTTATAAGAATTGGTGAGGAATGAGGGTGTTCTTAGACCTCTATAAACATAAAATTCCACAGTAGCCTAGCACAGAATTTGACACATTCCCCTTAAAAAAAATAATTAAATGCAATTTAACATTCTTTATAAGAAGTGACAGTGATAATAATTGGAGGAAACCCCTTTAGTTACTTACCATCTGGGCTCTCCGAATGAAGGATGTGATTCCCTCTGGTGGAATTCTGTTTCTGAGACTGCTTGATTATGTGACTGTCATGCCACGCTTGAGGTGAAGACTGGCAGGAAGGCTGTAAGATTCACTGCACACTTTAAAGCAGGGGGTGAGAAGTACACAGATTGCTGGGCAAAGTAGAAAGACCAAGTTTATTGAGTGTCTAGGACCTGTCGTCTGAGAGGAGAGTTGCTATTCCTGCTCTGCAACTCAGAGATACTGGGTAGGTCTTCAAAGACTCAGAAAAATGAGTCAATTGACCTCCACATTTCCTTTCCTGGAAGCCCTACTCTTTTCTCCAAGTAAACTGTTATATAAGAGGATTTTTTATTATTGCTAAAATATGGGTGAATTTTAAAAAGAATAATCCAAATAAAAGAAGTCATAAAATATTTCACATTGTATGATTTTATTTATATTTGATGTCTTTTCCTCAGGGGAAAAACCCCAAATCTATAGAGACAGAAAGTAAAGTAGTGGTTACCTGAGACTGGTGGGAATAGAGACTGCCTCTTTTGAGGATAAGAGAATTATTATTTAGTATAATAGAATTATTTTAGGATTGGACAAAGGTGGCACTTGTAGAACTTCGTGTCTTTATTAAAGAGCTCACTGAACTTCCCACTAAAAATAAGTTAATTTGAGGAGACCTCAGTAAGTTTTCTTTAAAGATGCTGCCACCATCAGTATGATTAACACTGGATTTATTTGTTGGCATCATTCTTTTCTACTCATATAGTTTATGATAAAGTAGCATACACTGTAGGAAACAAAGAAAAACAAAACTTGCTCTTTGCCTTTGTCAAAATGCCTGTGCAATAACCACCATCACAACACTAATGTGTTGTTATTGGTAGGAATACAGACAGTTAAGGCAAGACCTCCGAGAATAACTGAACTCTTAAGACACAGGCTACCTCTTCCTAGTCCATGAGCCCAATTTGGGAGGAGGAAGGAAGGAGGCACAGTTAAAAGGAGACAGGGAAAATTAAAGTGAAGCAAGCTTGGAAGGCAAAGCTACAAAAGTAATCGCAAATGACGCCACAATCACGTTATGACTCTCATCTCTGACTAACTGAAGCTTTCTGGGGATAACAGTGTTCTTGCTGACTAGCTCTGGGTAGCAAAGTCATTTACCAACATGATCCACATTATCTCACGCTGTGTCTGGGCCAGCGGCTAGTCCAGCAAGTCCTCTGCTTTCAAAGTACAAGGTTCTTCAGAACTGACCTTAGAGTGGCTGAAATGTCTTCTCTGACAGGGCTGTCAGACTACAACCCAGATCCTTCTCCAGATGGTACACCTGGGGTGGTGGGGGGTGGGATGATTAAAGATCAATATTAAAAAATGGTTCATAAACTTCTTTACACACAACACATAGAAAGCTGATTTATTAGGCAGGTCAAAACAACATTGTTATGCCCTGTTTGGTGTGGAAGGCAACAATTTAACTCTGTCTCATTGGGATTCCTTTCCAAAATGACATCAGAGACACCTTGAAAGAATCCTTGGTGCTCTTGGGCAGTTTATATTTAGGTAAAGTAAAGGGACGTTGGATACAACTTACCACAGTGCATATGGAGATTTGGGAGTGGGGCTGATTTTGTAATATCTTCTGAGACTTTTGTGGAATTCATGCTCTGAACCTCACTCAGTTCTTTATCTAACAGTTTGTTTTCATGCTTGATCCCAGACATTTGAGAGGAGTGTGTGGACTCAGTAGCCAGAAAGAATCATGTGTCCAGCCTGTATGGTAACATGTCCACATCAGAGGCTACTCTGGGGCTAAAACCCGGTCTCTTTCTTCTGTTCGAGTGCTGAAATCAACAACAACACCCTCTTTTTGGAAAGACAAAAAGGGGGTACCCAGGAAGCCAACATCCTCCAGAAATCTCCAGGGCTGTTCTGTGACTAGAGCACGTATGGTGGGGATCGTGTCCCTAGCATTGCTTCTAGGGTGTCTCTGTTGGACTGAGATATCCTCACGTCAATACCTCATCTTAACAGCTCTTGGAGAGGCAAAGTGAAGAAGGGAGTGGGACAGATCCTATAAACCACTGTAAAGAGGATATTGTGAGAGGCAAGATTAGGAAGAGCACTGACTCTAAACTAAATTAGACCCGGATGAAGTCCTGCCTTCATCCATGGCTTACTAAAGACACACGTGGAGGTCAGTGAGCAGACTGCTTCACAGTATGGCCAGGCTGTCAGCACTGCTATTCACAAGTAGTGTGACCCTGGGCAGAAGGATTATCACCCTCTGTCTGCCTCAGGTTCTTAAGACAAATAAAGCCAACATGTAATAGAATCAATTCTCATGGCGCTGTGAAGAAACTGGCTGTCACATAGTGAGGGCTGTCATTACGTTCAGGTCAGTATCTCTCCAACTATGAAAACACAGAGAACTCAGATTGCCAAGAAAGACTCGTTTAAATTTTTATATTAATCCATCAAATACTTTTCAAATAAATGCTCTCGCTGGAATAAGTTTTGTTTGCCTTTCTTTCTTACATTATCTTCTGAGGTATTTTCTATATTGAAAATGCCCCTAGAGAGCCATCTAATGTCCTATTCTTGAATACTTTGCAAATGATATGGAGATGTGAAGGGTTGAAAGTCAGAATTATTTTCTTTATATACATCAGCCTAGATCATTCACAAGTCATAGAATGCTTACAGAATCTTTAACTTGCTTCATTATGGTCTTCATGACATTGACCATTTCTGCTGAAATCACTGGACACCTAAATGACAGGGCTGAATTGATTGACTTCTCAGCCCCTGTCTTCATTATTGCAGCATTCTGTATTAGTGTAGAATCACAAGGGTGTTTGTTTGTGGAACTGACCTATGAACATCATAAGCACTACACAGAGGGTTCAGTGCTGAAAATCTAAAAATAATGTTGGGGAATCTGAACATAACTCTAGTCACAAAAACATGCTATTTCTCTGATGGCCTTCTGCTGCAATGTGCTAGTATCATAGGGAGCCAAAACTGCAGGGTCTGGGGTTTTTTTTCCCAACAAGCTAGGGCATTGTTTTTCTTTCTTCTCCCCCCTCAGAGTGTTTTAGTTTTGTTTGTTTTCTATTCTGAATTTTTTT